GGAGCACAGCCCCACTGCATTTCTCTTAGGAGAGTCAACAGACATGTTAAACACGGCAGGGCTGTGGACAGGGGTGCAGGAGGCGCATCCCATGTGGTTGGCCTGTGCATCCCGATTAGAGGAAGCACTGTCCTGCTTGGGGCTCCCCAAGCCTAATGGTCCCCAGCCATTCTAATTTGTATAGCAAGAAGCAGGAGTCACAGGCTCAGAGTGGCAGGAGGGTGGTTGACAGAGGTCCCCTGGAGGGACACATGGACATCTACTCTGCAGCTCCCAGGCCATTTGCCATATGGCAAAGTCACTATCATGCCAGAAAAGCTACTGGACTTCTGCAGGGGCCTGACAGCCTGTTTCCACAGGGGGCTCTTCTCCTCTACTAGACGGAAGCCAAGAGCACTGTATGAGGAGTTCAAAGGTCTGGATTCTGGTCTGGATAGACTGGGGATTCATTGGTTGTGTGACCTGGGCAAGTCTTTTTTTTTAAAATAATTTATTTAACTTTATTTTATGTGCATTGGTATGAAGGTGTCAGAGTTACTGACAGTTGGAAGCTGCCATGTGGGTGCTGGGAATTGAACCCAGGTCCTCAGGAAGAACAGCCTGGTGTCACTTCTTCAGTCCTCTGGGCAAGTTTTGTAACTTGTCTGGGCTTGGTTTCTTTGGCTGCAAGAAGCAGGGGACTCTGAGATCGTAAAGCACCACGGCCAGCCACCCCAATGGAGCAAGCATTAAATCAAGAGACAGAGAACCACGTTTTGGACTCATTTTTAGGAACACTGGGTGCCAGTCACCTGCAAAGCCAGCACCCAAGAGCACTGACTTAATTGTGCTGAGAGTCTCAGATGAAGGAAACACATCCCAGCATTAAACCCTCAAGAAGTGAGAGGCAGAGACCATCACCTTAGGCTTCTCCATCCCAGGATTTTCCTTAGACAATGACAGCCAATAGTTGTCACAGGTGTCACCTCACTGACCAATTTTAACTGACCAAGAGAGTGGTCATTCTAAGAAAGACGCTGAGGCTGTGTCTAAACTCAGAGGGGAAACAGAACTGTGGTTGATTAGCAAGGCCTGCCACATGTGCAGGATGGGCAGAGGCGGCAGAGGTTGTGTCTTCTGATTCAAGCCTGTAGTTTAATGTGGGTTAGCCAACCATTTTTGGCAAGAACCTAAAAGAATGGGAATGGGGGGAAAAACAAAAATAAACAAGCAAATAACCCCCCTAAATTCCTTTCATGCAGCCAAGTGTGGAGTAGATCGGAAATGCCAGCACTCTGGAGGCTGAGGCGGGGTGTCACAAATTCAAGGACAGACTGGGCTACAAAGGGCCTCAAAATACTAAAAAAAAAAATAAAAAAGCAAGTAAAGAATAAAGGATGTACTCAGCAAATGTTCCAGCTTGCAGAGTCTTGGGCACAGAAGCTACTCGGAGACACAGAATACAATAGGTCCTAGGAGTTCCTGGGAGGAGGAACGACTCTGGGCAGGGTTATGGCTAAGCCAATTCCTTAAGGACATGTGGACTCCAGCCAGCCAGAAGGAAGGAGGTGTGGGTGGGCAAGCGGAGTGGTATGCAGAGGGGGAGGAAGGCTGACTCCGGAATGCTCTGGGGACACTGGCGCAATGCCATCTGTGGGCCTGGGAGTCATTCAGAAAGTTGGCAGCACAGATTTTAGGAGAGGGAAATAGGGAACCAGTGAGGCTTCTAGCCAGGGGTGGGGGTGGGGGGCAGCAAGCCTCCTGGACTCTAGAGCACTGCATAACTGACCTAAAAGATACGCGAGCAGGAGTCACAGGTCAGCCTTGTAACCGATCAGTTGGGAAGATCCAATTACTAGGTCAGAGGGGAGAAAAAAGATGGGTAAAGGACCAGCCTCTAAGTGGATGTGGGAAGACCTGAACAAGTGGAATTCAGGCTAGAGATACAAAGGCGGGGTGAGTTCCCAGAGGGATGCTGTAAACCAGGGAGCAGGATGACATGAGGCCCACACCCATAGGGGCAGAGAGTCAGTATTGACCAAGCCCAGCCAATGGTCCCAGGCCACACCCTGAGGAGTTAAGGTGGTTGTTCCAACAGGCCCAAAGCCTTCGTGCCCTTGGATCCAGAAAGTTCACTTCTAAAACTGAGAAACACACAAAGAACTACACAGAGAAATAGACCTGGAGATATTGGCAGCAGTACTATCTGCCACAGTGACAAGGAAGAAGCAAGTGGGTATCCAGCATGAGGGGATTGCTAAATTTTGGCCACGTTCAAGCAGTAGAATCTTAAGCCACCGTGGATATGACAAGTGACATGGGAAGGCAGCCTCACTATGTAATTAGATGGGGGAAAATGAGGTTGGGCATTCTCTCTCTCTCTCTCTCTCTCTCTCTCTCTCTCTCTCTCTCTCTCTCTCTCTCTCTAGACAGAAAGAAGAGTCTAGAAGGAAATATTCTGAAGTGACAGCAGAGGGATTGCTCTTTAAAAATCCTACTTCAAAAGGCTGTGAGATGCCAAGAGTGCTGTGATTCCAGCTGTTTGGAAGCTGAGGCAGGAGAACTGTGTTTGAGACCAGCCTGGGATGCACAGTGAGTTCCAGGACAGAGTTAAGTCTTACCACAGAAAACAAAAAACAATAGGTTTCTGACACTGAGTATGGTGGTACTAGATCCTTAGTACCTAGTAAGCGCTCAATAAATGGCAGTCATCATTTGGTTTTGCTCTGATTTGAGAATCTGTTCCCACAATGCCTCTCAGGCTCCTTGTGGCCATCACTCCAGCCAGCCATAGGCCAGGGCCACACACACTGTGCCCAGCTCACCCAAGAGATTGGGGACACTCCAAACACGTACACCAAGACCCCACCTTAAAGTTGACAGTGAGTCTCCAAGGCCAGGGTGGGAGAACCCTACTGACACCTGAGTCTACAGAAGAAATCTCCACCCATAAAGAGCACATTCAACATGTTTTCCTTTATATGAGTGCCAAGAATGACCCTCTTTGGTGAACAGTAAATAGCTCCAGGGTGACCCGTGCCAGTTAACCCTTCATAGGCAAACTCCACTGAAGCATCTGTCTAAACGGTGCTTCTGTCCACAGCTGTGACATCCCACAGCCCAGGATGGCAGCAAAGACAAGAGTCCTTTGAGACCAGGATCAGGGAGGGAGGGACACTCCTCTGCCCTGACTCCAGATGCCTCCTCCCATCTCCTCCCAAACCAGGAAGATGCTCCTAACCACAAGGGGTATCCCCAAGTGCAGAGCTGGCAAGTCACCTCAGAAAGGGAAGAGAAACCATGTCATTATGAGTGGCGCCACAGACAGGCTTTAGCACTCTTTGTGCCGGGACTGTCCTGTGTGTCGAGGGGTGTTACAAGTACCTGGATAGTGCCCCTGTAGCATTCAGCACCACCCCTTCAACTACGAAAAACAAAGCAGATACCAACAAAGGAACAAAACTGCCCTCATTTGAGAACCACTAGCTCCAGTAGATTCGGAACCCACAACAGGCTGGCTCTAACTAGCAACTACTAAGAGAGCCCAGGAAGAAACAGACACAAAACACAAGGCTGCCAGGGTCGACCAGATGGCTCAGTAGGTAAAGGAGCTTGCTGTAAAGCCAGATGACCTGTGTTCGATTTCCAGGACACATAAGGTGGAAGGTAGTAAGTGACTTCTTAAAACTGTCCTCCAGCCCTGGCATACACACACACTCAAATACGTGTGTGTGTGTGTGTGTGTGTGTGTGTGTGTGTGTGTTTAAAAAAACATAATGTAGTCATAAAAATCAAAGCAAAAGCCAGCAGCTCCCTTCCTGGAGATGCAATTTCATCTCCAGCCGAGATACTGATGAGTAGTGATGTCAAGCAGGTCTCATGTACTCAACAGGCTTGACAGAGGACCTACTAGGAGGCCATGGCCAGGGTACCTGGGGCACAGCAGTGACTGTGGAAGCCAAGACCATGTTCTCAGGTCTCCACACTGGTTGGAGGCTCTCACAGACAAGTGCATTCAGGGTTAGGGTTAACACCCATTAGACATCCATGGAAAGGGCCCAAAATTAGATTCAAGAACGTCATACATTACTTCCTCTCCCTCCACAGCAAACATCTGCCCTTCACAAGCCCTCATTTTTGCCCCATATCCAGCCTAGACAAACACCTCCATTTCACAGATGGGAATCCTGAGGCTTAAGAGGAAAACTGGCGTACAGAAGTACACCGCCACAGACCCGCTGTGGAAACGGCTGTCTCTACTAAGTCCTAATCATCTCAAGGCACCAATCAGACCTCCTCTGGCTGAGCAGCCTCAAAGCTCTGTCCAAGTGTGGGTTTCAACTGGACTCTGCCCTGGGGGCTGGTGCTGTCCTGCAAAGTCACTAAATGAGCTAGCAGGGCAGGGCACTGGGAACGTCCCCACCAAGAAGAACGCGAGGCTCAGGTTGCACCCTTAGTGGACTGCGAGGCAAAGGGCAGGGCATTGGTTTTCCTTCCACTTTCCAACAAGGCCTGAGCTGGAGGAGGGGAGGAAGAGGATCTGATGCTCCTAAGAGTTTCTTCAACTTGTGTGGAGCTGTCCTCCTTTTTCCTTTCCAAGCCAGAGCGAGGGAGGGATTCGGGCTAAGCACCCTACCGCTGACATCACACCCACAACCCACCCACTCCCCTTAGGACCCCCTTCCTAAATGGAGGAAAACTTTTTCGGGACTTCCTCTAAAAAGTGCTCTTGAGTTTTGCAGCTCCTTCTTCAAACCCTTGGAGGTAGGGGACGGCCTTTGATGTGGGGTGGGGGAATTGAGAACCATTCCGAAAGGGACTAAGAATGAAGCCGAGGATGAAGGCGTTCGGGGGCGGTTCCGGAGGGTTGGTGCCGCATGCCGGTGGTGCAATAGTAAAAGGATGTTTGGGGCAGGCAGCGATGGGTGAGAGAGAGTGAAGGGCTCGGGTGCATTTGAGGGAGGAGAAGGAGACAGAGAGATCTGGGCAGGTGGGAAGGGCTGGCGGCGCCCGGGACTCACCGAAGAAGGGCGGCAGGTGGGCCACCGCCTCCAGGAAGGGCCCGGTCTCGATCTGCCGGTCCGCGGGCAGCGGCTTGAGCAGGTGCTCGGCCAGCAGCGCCATTTCGGGGTCGAGGCCCTTGGTGATGCCCCAACCCGCGCCGAGGGCGTCCGCGCCCGGGCTGTCGCCGCCCGCCGCCGCCTCCTGGGACGCCAGCCTCGCCACTTCCGCCCGCACCTCTGAGCGAGCGCCGAGCGCCGCCCGCAGGCCGGAGCCATGGAGTGCTCGGCCACGCCCCTTCGCGGATTGGCCAATAGGCGCCCACCGCTGCACCCTCTTGGCCAATGGGAGCCCGCCTCTCCCGCTGCCGCACTGCCATTGGTCTGAAGGCGGGGCTTAGCGGTAGCGCGGGCGGCTGGCACCAGGTGAGACACAGCACTGCCAACCTGTCACTTGTTACTTCATTCCCTAACTTGCGGTTCAGACCGGTGTCGCTCTGTCTCGACCCGCCTACAGTCCAGCCCCCTGGCGGGTCCTTGTTTCCCAATCCCGGGTCCTACAAAGGTCCCAGGTGCACGCCTCCGCAGCCTGCACCCGAGATCGCCTCAACCAGAATCCAGCCTCGCTGCTGTGCCCTAAAATCCAGAGCTCAGTGCACCCCAAGTCCCGCGTCCTGGAGAGCTGGTATGCGCCCGCATTGGATATTCAAGGACTCTGTTCTGCGCGGCTGCTGCTCACTGTGCCAGGCACAGAGGATGCCGTGACCGTGTAGCAAAGTCCTGGAGCAAACAATCTAGTCGGGACTCCGTGCAGCACAACACGCAAATTAACAGTTTCAGAGTTGGCTTGTAAGTGAAGAAAACAAAGCAGATTTGAGGGTATAGCTCAGTTGGCCCTGCGTTGTCTCCCAGCTCCGCATATACTAGACGGGGTACATGCCCGTGACCCCAGCACCTGGGAAATGGAAGCCAAGGGACTCCACTTCAAGGTCGTCCTTGGCTACATAAGGAGCCCGAGGCCAATCTGGGGTAGAGATCCTGTCCCTAGATAAATAAGCAAGGCTGTTGGCTAGACAGAGAATGATGCCGGCTTGATGTAGAGGGTCCGGCCAGCACTTCAGCGTTGAGCAAAGCCTTAAATTGAGGGAGACAATGGTGTGTGCAAGAAACCAGAGAGCTGTGAGAAGTGGGCAGGGAAAGAGATGTGCTAGGAACTGAGATGGTTAGGTGAGCAGGGGCTGCAGAGTGGTTAAGAACTGGTGGTTCATGAGGGCTGCCAGAAAAGCACATGCTAAACCTTGTTAAAGGACTTTAATTTACCCTTTTGGGGGGCAGATGACAAAAGAGATTGATCTAATAGACAGGCATGACCCCTGGAAACCAGGTAGTCACAGGCTGGGAGAGATAGGACCATTATTATCTCTTGCTCACATAGACTATAACATGCCACATCAAGTTAGATCTGTGGATAGACGCCCAAGCCACCAATTTCAGCTTGTTCCCACCCCACCCAGCCTCACTGCCTCAGGCTTCCCAAGATACAATCTTACTAAAGCTACAACAGTCTGCCTACAGCCCTACCTCTGCCAGAACCCCACCTAGCTTTCAGACACCTCCATCAATTCCACAGAGAGATAACAGCCTGTGTGGGGCCTCTGACTTCAGATGATACCCTGATTTCTCAACCTGCTCATCCCAGCCAAGCAGGCCATTCTAAAGCCCATGTGACTCAAGAAAGCTGGTCTTTAAGATGACTTGATGTCCTGGGGCAGGTCCTCCATATGGATATGTGGTGTTTTGAAAGTTCATCCCTCCTTCCCTCCTTCCATCTACCCATCTACCCATCTACCCATCTATCCATCCCTCTCTTCTTCCATCCATCTGGCCATCTGGCCATCCCCCTACTCATCCATCCAACTCATTTGAAAGTGTTTGCTCTCCTGTTGACTCTTGTCTTCCCACAGCTCTCAAGGGTGAAGTCTGGCAAGGGGGTGCTGTGGGCTGGTGTGGTGTGCTGAGCAGTTGGGTCAAGGCTGGGAAGTTAAGGGTGACACAGCCCATCCAAAGGACACTATTATGCTGTTACCCCACCAGCTGTTGTCCTCAGGGTGCTCATTTTTCACATCCCACAAAACAAATTGAAAATCTAGGGTTTTTTTTTTGGTTTAAAAAATAACTTTTTACATATTGGCTACTTAAAAATTACATAAACCACATAAAAATATTTTCTGCTTTTTCTTTCTCCCCACCTTCCTTCTTTTCTCTTTTCCTTTTCCATTTTTATTTATTTACTTCTATTTATTTATTTATTCATTCATTTACAGAGAAACCTGTAATAGAGAAACCTTGGCTGTCCTGGAATTCACTTGTCCAGGTTGGTCTCAAACTCACAGGAGGTCTGTCTCTGCCTCCTGAGTGCTGGGATTAAAGGTGTGCACCACTACTTCCCGATTTATTTTTATTTTTCTTGAGACAAGTATTACTGTATAGCCAAGGCTGGCCTAGCATCAACTATATAGCCCATGCTGGCTTCAAACTCCAGTCAAATCTTGCCTCAGCCTCTCAAGTACCTGATAGTTAAAAAACAATCTTAAATTCTTAGAAATATTGCAAGCCCTATGCAAATGACTTGTCACTGAAATTACCTTAAATACTTTAATGCTCATTTTCTCCAAACAGAGGCGTTCCGCAGAACCGTGTTTACCCCTGAGCAGGAAAACGACGACATTCAGCAGTCTCAATCTGTCTTTTGTGTCTAGGGCCCCAGTCCAGGATCATGTGTCCCATGCCGTGTAGTTGTCCTGCCTGTTGGTGTCTATCATTCTGGAATATTCCTCAGTCTTTCCTGGGCTCCCATGACTGACACTGTTGAAGAGGACAAGCAGATTCTTCCATTGAGGTCCCATTTTCTGTCTCACAGCACAGAGGCAGCATGCTGAGCCCTCTCAGGACACAGATGACATGATGACAATGTGATTTCAATGGTCCTAAATTGAAGTTGTTGAGTTTTGTTTGTTTGGGTTTGGTTTTGGTTTTTCAAGACAGTATGTCTCTATGTAAGAGCCCTGGCTGCTCTGGAACTCCTATGTAGACCAGGTTAGCCTCGAACTCACAGAGATCCACCTGTCTCTGCCCCCTGAGTGCTGGGATTAAAGGCATGAGCCACCACTGCCCAACTTGTTTCATTTTTTCAACAGGGTCTCATATGTAAATCAGGCTGACCTCAAACTCACAGAGAGCTGCCCATTTATGCCTTGTGAGTGTCGAGTTTACAGGTATGTGCCACCATAGTGGGCTCAGACTTTAATTTCATCATCTTATAAGGCAAGGCCCCTTCCACTTTGCAAATACACCATACTTCATGCTATTGTTGCAGTTCTTATCCGAGGTGACAATCCACTACTGCCATGATCTGACTGTCGCAGGTGTGGTCTGTGACAGCCCCTTCAAGCCGGCCTCCGTGTCTGCTCAACACATCCCCACTATGTAGTAAGTACTTCCTCACTCGCTTGCACAAACTATTCCAGGCTTACTATCTTATCCCTCTCTGGCCCCCCTGAGATTAGCCCTCTCCCCAGAGCACCCCCCATTCCCTTCAGTGGTATGTCCTATTCAGAAGCAGAGATCGGGATGTGCTGGTAGCCACTGAGATGACACTGTTTCTGGATCCTCTCAGAGGAGTTTTGAACATACATCTGGAGATGCAGCCTCGGTGGGCATTTGTCTGAATGGAAACTCAGGGTTTTGGCTCTGGTAGATCTAGTCCCAGTGGAAGTCCAAGGGGCTTATTCTTGCCTCTGCCCTTACCGAAGGCGCACCTAGCCCCTTTTTCAGTGCTCTCATTGTTCTGTTGATTTGAGCAAGTTCTTCTTGTTGCTACAGCCCCAAACCCAAGATACTTGTCGTGTCTGCAGTTCCAAGAGGAGACCCGTTTCCTTTCCACGGATCCCAGTTTCCATGCTGGGCCACCTCCATCCATACGAACACCCTTCTTATTCCATTTAGTCTCTGAGACCCCTCTTCAGCATCAGGTACCCTCTCCTTCACCACTGACCCTTGTTCAAGAATGAAAGGAGACCGGTGATGTGGGACACACCTTTAATCCCAGCACTCGGGAGGCAGGTGCATCTCTGTGAGTCCAAGGCCAGCCTGGTCTACAGAGTGAGTTCCAGGACAGTCAGGGCTCTTAAACATAGAAATCCTGTTTCAAAACACCAAAGCCAACCCAAACAAGCAAACCGCCCAGGGAGGCCCCTTCACCACTTGGCACTGCACACTTGGAGCACTTGGTGAGACCGGATGAACTAGTGGCAGTAATTTGAGGGACTGGTACTGACTCTGAGAGGGTGTTCACCTGAAGTTTCTTCATTTTCCTGAACCGTACCCACCCTCTGTTAACAACACCTTCCCACACTGAGTCATCGAAGCCTGCCCTACCCCAGTGGCATCTAAGTTCACAGCCATTGTGACACTTCATCTGAGGAACAGCCTCCAGTGCAGGATTGCTACAATAATGATGACATGGTGACCGTCATGATGATGGTCGTCATCGTGATGGCAGCTAGCATGTATTGAACTCTTGCTATATACACAACCCAACACCATATTTACTTCAAACTAGCTGTGCGGTCTTGGAGGAGTCACTGAGTTTCCTACAGATGCTGAAACAAATGTCTCGGTGACTGAAAACTGAAGTTAGTTAGCTCACAGTTCTGGCATCCAGACATCCAAGCTCAGTATCACAGGGCCAAAATCAAGGTGCGTCTGCACTGCTCCGGCCTCTGCCTCCATCCGCACCTGTCCGCTCCGGTGTGTGCATGGAGTCTCCCTTCATACTCTCTTACATCTGTGGTGGATGGTGCATTAGTCAGCTTCCTGTCACCTCAACAGAACACCCCTGATAGTCACTTTATACGGAGCAAGAGTGGTGGCTGGGGAGACGGCTCTGAGGTTAAGCGCACTGGCTGCTCCCAGCATCCACAGCTCCCAGCTGTCTGCAACTCTGGTTCCAGGGGATCTGATGCCCTCTTCTGGCTTCCTGAGCACCAGGCATAAGCATGGTTCAATACAGACATGCGGGCAAAATGCTCATACACATAAATCAAAATAAATAAGTCTAAAGAGAAAATAAAAGGTTTCTTTTAGCCCTCAGATTTGGATGTCTTTACCCTTGAGCCATTGCTCTAACGGAGGGTACCTTCCTTAGGTTGCTTTTGTCAGGT